CTGTATTAGGGACCTTACGTGTTTATGGTCGAATGTGATTACTGTGACTTCCTTACATTCGGTAATCTTTCTCGGGAAACGTTGTTTTCGACGTGGCTGAAAGTTTTGTCAACATCATCAGGCAGATCTTGTTAGCGGTCTCAGGTGGTATGGCCAGGTTCATAACATCTCTTCTACAACCATACCCTTCACTTAACGGATGAAGGCGTTGCTCTGGATTAGGTAAAGTTGTGGTTTCGAGCCGTTGTCCTAAACGTCCTGCTTCTCGAATTTATCCGTTTCGACATAGTATATTGAAGACTTCTTTTTTTTTTTAATGTGCTGCCTTTTGGCTTTATGTTTTTTAACAACCTTATTAAATAGCCCCCCAGTGGCACAGCGGAATGTCTGCGTGGTGGGCAGAGCACAGATAGCCCATTGTGTAGCTTTGTGTATAACTACAAACAAACTTATCAAATAAATAGTTCTATTCGAAAAAGATGTGATATTATTTCTTAAGCCATAAACAACCGTGGCGGCATTGCACTGTTTAATAGTTGACGTTTCGCTATGAAACAAACACCTCACCCGTTTGCATTTGCGGGAACAGTCATCTGCGTGAATTAGCATATACAACTCATTCAAATAAAATACGTTTAATCCTTTGTTAACATTTTTTTAAGTACAAGCCTCCCGAAGGAAATTCAACATCAATTGTACAGATCAGTTGGAGCCTAAGACTAAAACTAATTTTACTCTAGAAAGGACATTGAATTGTTCGAAAATGTTCAGAGGATGAACAATAGGATGAAAAATAAGAAGAGTTAGAGGGGGATCTGATTGAGGTGATAAGATTGTTAAGGGAATTGATAGTGTTGAAGTATCATCTTTTTCATATTTAATGGTGAGAAAAGTAAGACTAGGGGACACAAATATAATTTTGGCAGGGTAGGAGTCACCTTTAGCTAAGGCAGTTTTATTTTTCTATCAGGATAGTTATCTTTTATGGTGGGCGCAGTTAATTTAAGGGGTTTAAGGGAAAGCTTGTTAAATATTTGAAAGATAAGAGTTGGCTTTGAGTTTTCTTTTAGGGTTTAATTTAATTTAGTGGATAGGATGGCATAGGTGGACCAAAAGGTCCATTGTTGTCCTTTAAAGTTATGTTATATTTTCGAATGTGTTCAAAATTAGGATTTGGTTTGTCTCGAATATTTGCTTAAAGATATACAAAATATATACTAGCCTTCACTTATATATCTTTACAACAGTATTGGAGACAAACCAAACCCCTATTTTGAAACGATAGACTAGAAAGAAGGCAGTTAATCAACAGCACTCCTTACAAACTCTTGGGCTACTTTTGTTTGACTGCAAGGTGTAACTTCGGACTGAAAATGCGAGAGCATTTTTGACGTGACGGGACGCTAACCAGAAATCACTAGGTTCATAGTTCAGGCATGTAGTTATATCCTAACACTCTTCGGCTTCTACACTCTCAAATATGGTCTGCTTGGACCACACTTTCAAAAAACTGTTGTTTTTTAAGCAATGGTGTATACACACTTAGATCAGTAAAAGAAGATTTTCTTCGTAACGAACTGGTATGATAAAGTTCTTGGAATGATGGACGAGATGCATTATACTCATCAGGAACTATATTAAGAAGCGATGTTTAGTTGACACGCTGGAGTAAGATTTGGGATGTAATGCTATATGGTTGGCCTACAGGAAATTAAATTCTGTTTCTTTCTGAATATCTCTTGTTACGTCTTTACGATACGCCAATAGCTCGAGCAGGTTCACCTTTTGACAGTCAGTAAGCTTCCTGTGATTGTTCCGGACATCTCTAAAAGGTTTCTGTGTCACTTTTCTCTATAAAATATCACAGACAAGTATAAAGAACATCGCATGGCGTGGGGTTTCTATTTCTATGTGGTGGTTGCACGCTATATTTTCATAAAGAATACAAAGATCACTATATCACTTAGTCTATCTATCTATCGCACGAAGTATCTTTTGTTATCACGAATGTCACATTTCCTTATATCAGTTAAAAATTAGCTATATACATGATGTAAATGTTTTTATAAATAATAGGTAGACACGTGACATCTGTATGTATTCGGTATTAAAATTTCACTTGTTCTTTACATTCGAAAAGTACAACACAAGTTTGGGATTCCTTGTATATAAATTAAAACTTGGTCTCTCTTTACTGACAAGTTGATGGGATTGTGATAACATATGTTGTAAGATTTATTGGTTCTGCACTCAGTTCCTTCTTTCATTACATTCTCTTATTCTCATATTAAGGGGTTCCTTCCAAAATGTTTTGAAGATGGAGAAGTCTATCCGCATTTATATTTCAAAATTACTTGGGAATTTATTTTAATTATATAATTCCCTGTTTTTCCTAATTTCATCATGTTAGCGTTTAATTGACAGGTAGGTAAATAAAACTGATGTACTCCAATTAATCTAATAAGTTGATCTGAAATGATATCCTGGGAATCAGGCTTTTTTAAAAGCGTGATGAAAACCATTTAATACGTTTTAGTACGACACCCTTTGGTGACCATTTAATAAACGATATTGTATCCAAATCACCGACATCTACAAAAGAAACGTTTTAGTACTGCAACAGTTAATACAACTCTGAGAGTCGTAGTTTCAACATTCTTTAATAGCAGGTAACCGTTTCTTTCTGAACGTTTATTTCCGAACACCTTCTATACAGAATGATTATTTCTTAAGTCTTAATTACAAAATTCTTTAGTAGCAGGTAACTGTTTCTTTCTGGACGCTTAGAAGCAAGTAACTTTTATTTCCGAACACTTTCAATACATATCTTGCTAAGCAACAGGACATAAAAGCCACTGTTGGAATGCATTGTTACCAAAATGCACTGGCTTTTCTATATATGTAGATTTTCATTAGCTTGCCCCATTAAAAAGATGCGCACGCGTATGCACGCAAATAAGCACGTTCATGTATATTTGTCTATCTGTGATTTCTATTTATAATATAAGAAACCACTTCTTTTCTATGTGAGTTTTCGCTTGCTTGCCTCATTAAAAAGATCTGCACGTGCATGGATAAGATAAGTAATACCCAGGTGAACACCCTCAGGGTCCACTTAGTATGTGTGCAAAATTTCAAGTTTCTAGGTTCTTTCCTCTTGGAGTATGACAGTCACACATACAGACAGACAGACTGATTGATACGCACGTGCGTACGCGCAGGCGCATACGGACGCACGTGCGTGTCTATCTCTCTGCTTGTCTGTGTTTTCTATTTGTAATATAAGGATCCATTTCTATTCTATGTGGTTTTTCCCTACTTTTCCCCATTAAAAAGTTTCGCATGTGCCTGCGCGTGGACAAGATAAGTAATACCCAGGTACACAGGATCAGGCTCACTTACTATGAGTGCAGAATTTCAGGTTTCTAGATTCTTTCTTCTTGGAGCTATGGCAGACACACTTCTTTTTTATGTGGCCTTTCGCTAGCTTGCCTCATTAAAAGGATGCGCACGCGTGTGCGCGCATTCACGTGGATAAGATAAGTAATACCCAGGTGCACACCCTCAGTATGGGTGCAAAATTTAAGGTATCTAGGTTCTTTCCCTTTGGAGCTATGGCAGTCAGACTTCTTTTCTATGTGGATTTTCGCTACCTTGCCTCGTAAAAAAAGATGCGCGCATACACGTGGTTAAGTAATAATCCTCAGGTGCACACCCTCAGGGTCCACTTAGTATGTGTGCAAAATTTCAGGTTTCTATGTTGTTTAATCTTGGAGTCACACACACACACACACATAGACACGTCCTTTTATTATTCTAGATAATATTAAAAGGGGAGGTCTGTGGGTCTGTGTGTGTTTGTGCCTGACCACCATAACTCTAAGAGGAAAGAATGTAGAATCCTGCAATCTTGCACACACATATTAAGTGTACCATTAGAGTGTGCACCTGAGTATTATTACTTATTCACGTGTGTTCGCGCATGCGTATCTTTCTAGCTAGAAAAAATCCACATAGAAAAGAAGTGTGACCACCATAGCTCCAAGAGGAAAGAACCTAGATACCTGTGCACCTTATTTAATTACTTAATCTTATCAAAATTTTCATCCATACCAAATGAACCCTGAGGGTGTGCACCTGGGTATTGCTACTGAGTCACTAGGGTGTCGATAGTAAATTACTTAAATCATAAAAGTGCTATTGAACTATTTGTTTATTCTTAGAATAATTACCATTTAATTCTATACAATGATCTTTTCATGCTGTCTCCAATGGCTCAGCGGTTAGTCTACAGACTTAAAACACCAAAATCCGGGGTTCGATTCTATATATTAATTGGGAGACGCAAGTTAGAACTTTGAAACATCTTACACCAATTACCTAAATGTAACACTGACAGTACAATCGTTTCACGTAGTTTGTTTTTGTTGGTAAGTACAAAGCTACACATTGGGATATCTTGTGCTCTGCTCACCACGGAATCGAAACCCGATTTTTAGCGTTATAAAACTTCACTGCTGAGCCACCGGGTAGCATATTACATAGTAGAGTTGGTTTTTACCACTTGTTTCATTGTAGTTAAATTAAATATTTTGCAAACACGAATACTGCTATTTCTTCTTTGATTTTATTCATGGGTTCTTAGAATTACCTAGAAAACATTACAAAAAAGCAATTTTGATCAATATTTGTGAAGTTAAACATTTATAAAATATGTGTAATTATCATAATCTTTCGAATGAGTTTTCCTTCTGATAATCTAAACTTAATTCTTATAATTGTACTCTTTGACCGTATGTGCTCATATATATTTCAGTAGTCTAGCGGATTTAATATTGTACACACACACACATATATATATATATATATTACTTTTCTATAAATATGTTTCACGTTGTGATTCCTAGATGACAGCACCTTCTCTAACGTAAATTTTCATTTATCGATTGTTAGCGTCAGCTGGAATACAAATAGCCGCGAAAGAGGTACACACCACAGAGGCAGTCGTAGTCGCTGTTGGCCTTAATAACTAGAAGTTGGGCCTATAATGCGACATTGGAAATTTTGTAAAACCTCATCACGCGTCCTTAAACGTAATTTTTGCAACATTTCTTAAAATCTGGACGATAGGATTTCGGAAAATCTGCGACCAATACCGAATGTGGAGAAACTGAACACTGAAAAACTTGTTTGCACTACTTCGGTTGATGAAGTTTCCCCTCTCATCTTTTACGAAGTAGCATTTTAATTAGATCCTCGTCAGTGGACTTCATCTTGTCTACCTTCAAACACACAGTATGTCTTTGACATCTAATGGAGATGGGCTGCAGGAGGTTCGCCTATCGAGCTTTCCGTCAGTGGTGGAACTGAATGTCGGCGGAGTATTCTACACGACCTCCATAAGCACATTGACAAAAGAACCAAATTCCCTTCTAGGACAAATGTTTACCGGCGAAGGCGGAAAGACAGCGATGCGAGATTCTAAAGGAAAGTTTTTCATTGATCGAGATGGTGTGATCTTCCGATATATTTTGGACTATCTTCGAAATCAGAAGGTGCTCCTTCCCGAAAACTTCCACGAGCGTGAACGCTTGAAGCAAGAAGCCGAGTATTTCATGCTTCCAGGTATGGTGGCTAATATTGAAGCTCTTCCCTCAACTTCCCATTCCCACCGGGTACCTTTCAGCCTAGCAGCAGCTTCTCATATTTCCCGACCTCCTGGATATATAACGGTTGGCTACCGAGGAACCTTCGCCTTTGGTCGAGACGGATTGGCAGACGTCAAATTTCGGAAACTCACTCGCATCTTGGTTTGTGGAAAGGTTGGTCTCTGTCGTGAGGTATTTGGAGAAAACCTAAATGAAAGCCGAGATCCAGACAGATGTAACATGGACCGTTACACGGCACGATTCTTCCTGAAACATAATTTTTTGGAGCAGGCTTTCGACGATCTTAACGGAGCTAGCTTCCGCTGTGTTGCAGCTGCAGGTTCCGGAACGGCATGTGGGGGTACCGGCGAACCACTTAAACCTGGAATGGATTCAGAAGAGAATCGGTGGAACCACTACAACGAGTTTGTGTTTGTCAGGCCATAATCTCTAGTTGTTCGTTACCAGAGATCACCTGGGTAACACCAGGATTATCGTGGCTTGTATTTGCACAAGGCTTCTGTGCGAAAGCAAAATAGTGTTGATTTTCAAATGAGACACGAAAACTTTATTCTTTCATTCATCTATTAGATGTGATCCCATTTTGTACAATTGTTTAATTGTTGAATTGCTTCTGAGAGCTAGGCCTATTGATCTGGAAGAACAGGATGAGTATATTTTCGTATAGTTTCTTCAAAAGCTACTGGAGTGTCATGGTAGGATAATTTGTCATTAACATTGAGGATAAAAACAACAGTGATTAGAAAATTGGAATTGCACATTTTTCTACCATGTTACTGCATTGTAGTGTTTTGAAAAGGAGAACGAGTAGAGAGGCTAAAGGATAATTATGATAAAACTTGGCTGGATATGTTAATAATATTAAGAATGTTTCGATTTATTTTGTTTTAATACTATTGTAATTTGCTTGATATGTATTCGTCTCCAAGACAGACTAACAGCCACTGATTATTGTTTTTTTCATTTCACGAAGAACTTTGTGGAGACATATAGTTTCACACTAACAGTATAAGCTATTTTATGAATGTTGTGGTGGCCTTTCCTAGGTTTCTAAACAACTGGACAAACATTTCTGTATTGTTAAAGCGGAAAATAAGAAGACACAATTATTTTGAGACCAGGCGTAGCCGAGTATTTAACGTTCTTGTACTGTAAATCCAGGTATTCATGACTCGCGTCCCATTTCCCCAAAAACATAATCTGCATTTTGGGGCCGTGGGTGCGCTTTGAGAAAAAAGTTAGACCCATCTCTTTGGTCAGATAATAGAAGATCAAGAGCTCGTGAGTACTATGGAGTAGTTCCTTTCCCTCTAATCTATCAGTTCATGATTATGGGGGGAGGGGTATGCGCAGATAGTAATTTGTGTAGATTTGAATAAAAATTTTCAAATAAACCAACGATTATTTTATTGTGTTTTGAGCCAGAAGAGAGATGGGTTACATGACAAATAGTGGGGCTGTTCTTGTGCTTCATCTCTCTTTTGAAATGTTGAAAATTGTTGACCTATCCATCCTTCCACAAGAGAGTTTCAGTTAAGTAGTTGAAACCATTTAAGTTTAGATTAGAGCATGTCAAGTATTTCAATAAATTCGAACGACGGACTAAGACATAGTAACTGCTACTTCTACTATTAGAAACAAAGAGCATATATACAAAATAGTCAAAAAGTATACAACAGAAACGAATAGGTTTGGCTTGTAGATATACCTTAAACCTGACCTTAAATTTATTTTACTCTTTTCTAAGTGCCTGGCTGCAACCTTCCTTAATTTGTAGCAGATTCTGTTATGTTCGCTAAAACTGAAAGTCATCTATCACAGAAGGGGCTCAATATAGTGATGTTTCTAATATAAAATTTTTCTGCATTGTAAATCTGTCACACTTATGATTCTAAAAAAATATTATCTAATTAATGTTGATTTACCGTACTGAACGAGGGGAACTAATCGTGATATCTAGATTTGTTGACTTAAATAAATATCTAATAGTAGGGTTTTAAGCACCTAGCTTATCATGCAATCTCGTTAACATAGACAGAGAAAGTATGAAGTCATTCTGTGTCACCTACTTCGAGGTTTAGATTAGGGATACTGAAATGATAAATCTCTGTTGCTCTTGCTAGGACTATATAATATATGTCTTATAATGTCTTTTTCAACTTTTCTTTTATATGAAAGATAGCCTTAGACTTTGAGTTGGTGCATGCAAATTTTTTTTCTTTTTTCACACGAAACTAACAACAGTATTTCCCCCATTGTACAGCTATATTAATACTAAAATCACGAATATTTTCTTGTGTGAACGGTAAAGCTTGAAACTCTGTCTTAAAGTTTAAGCGCATTTTAGAGCTGTGAGTAATAGCTAGCGGCTAGTTAAAGATAAATACTAATCATACCTGGAATTGATTTTTATGTATTGTGAGAAATTGTGCCAACTCTCTGAGTCTGGATGAATGGGAACAAAACAACTAATTTTCATTGAGTTATCCATATCGGGATTCGGTAGGCCTAGTATAACCATTTTAACTTTACCTATCCATATCGGAATTCATTAGGCCTAGTATAACCATTTTAACTTTAGCTATCCGTATCGGAATTCAGTAAGCCTAATATAACCACTTTAACTTTTCCTATCAATTCAGAATTCAGTAGGCCTAGTATAACCATTTTAACTTTACCTGTCCATATAGGAATTCAGTAGGCCTAGTATAACCATTTTAACTTTTGCTATTCAATTCAGAATTCAGTAGGCCTAGTATAACCATTTTAACTTTAGCTATCCGTATTGGCATTCAGCATGTCTAGCGTAACTCATTTTAATTTTAGCTACTATGGCATGGTTCAACAGTCCTAACAAGTGTGATTAAAATCTCCTATGACTTCATATGTTTTGAATCACACCTCAGTATTAATTTGAACACTTGAAGCACAAGTATTGTTTCTGATATCTATGGACTGATACTTAAAACTGGAGCCACTCTTGTGGAATTTTTCCAAAGTTATAAAACTTTAAAATTACTTCCGACAAATATAGATTTTGTGTTACTATTGAAATAGAATACATAGACTACATTGCGTTGAAAGATGACACGGGGAGTAGGCAGAAATCAATAAAGGGGGCGTTACTTTTTTAAGAAAAAGGAAATGAGTGGTGAGGTCATACGGGGGGGGGGGTGAGGGCATTACCCTCTCGGGAAAATTTTGTAATTTTCCTTGAAAATGATGCATTTTGATGTATCTGGGGCTGTTTTTACACCATATAAATGCGTTTTAAAAAGATACGGGCGCAACGATCGCACCCCTTTGCCCACACCCATGTGAGAGAATATAACATGTCTGCAAATAAGCGAAATCGAAGTTAAAAGCTGTCATGGCATGAAAATATCAGATGTCTTCATGTTTTCCAAAATCTTTTTCAAGTGTCAGTTGTCTTCTTCGCTTTAACAAATAATTTTAGTCAGTATTTAGAAACTTAGGAAGAAAAACCTAAAAGTTAAAACTAAAATGATTATTTGTAGTTATGAATTATAAATCTAGAAATGTGGAATTGAATTACAAATTCAACTAATTCAGTCAAAGATGGGTAGTTTACGTTGTATATTGTAAGTCACATACTATATATTTCCCGGTAATCAAGTTATATATTGTGTTGTTCATTGTGATACATTTAACGTTATAAAAATGTTACAGATTATCTAGACAAAAGTGTTAACTTTTTTTTTGGTAACAAAAATAATTAAAGTGTTAGCTATATAATACCTGTGCTGTAAACAAATAACGGACAAAATATAGATGTTTCAGTAGTTCAATGGTAACGTTGATTTTTTTATTGATAATATGATTGTTTAGTATTAGTGACACAGTTGTTGTTGGCACTTTGATTTCTCTAATGTTCTTTATTTTATCTATTCAAAACACATTGGTTTGAATATGTTTTTTTTTAAAGTCTCTTTACAATACTTTCATGATTCGATGTATTTTATTCAACCAGAAACATCTATGTAAATCTGTATTAGATATTATAGATATAGATTTAAAGGTCTTACTTGTTTTACATAAATCACGAGATTTGGTCAATTATTAGCTAGGCCTCTCACTCGCAACCTCTTTCAATATTTCTTCTAATGTAATTGTGTATCGTATTCAGCGTTTGGCTATTGGATGTTCTAATAAACCTGTATACCATGCAAAAATAAATGACTATATAATGAGACTCGAGAAGTTTAGAAAATTTAATGTTTAACTTTGATATTTACGATAAAACTCACTTCTTACCTGATGTTACACGCAATCAGAGAATGTAATATTCGGTCAAGGAAAAGCCGATTTGTAAACTATATATTACTCTATAAAAGTAAGCTTGATTCATTTAAGTATTAGTAACTAATAAGACGGATTAACATAATAAAGTCGGAAAGAAAGATTAATCAGTTGATTACAAACGCAGTTGTTATTTTCCCAACGTTAAATATTAGTTTCGTGTTTAAAAAGTTACATAAGAACTTACGACTTACAATAAAGGGTAGCTAAGAACGACGGACTTTTCCATAGGCACCTAACCGGAGGGGAGGACACGTGCTACTTTACTTTGAATATTTCCTGTTTTTCGTTTTATAATTAAAGACTGGAGTCCGCTTTGAAACTGTATAACATAGAAGACTGCAGTGCGACCCATCTAGGTATAATGTGGCTATAGATAGATGTCCAGGACGTGTAAATTGTTTTTTTTTTAATGTTACATCAAATAATATAATGTTTGGCCCCTAATGAACTGTGAAAATTAGTACATATAATACATATTAAGCAGGAAGATGCAAGTGCAAAAATTGGTGGAGACGGTTAATATGCACACAATGAAGAACGTTTTACAACCCACCTACTTTGCTAGACTTGTAATGTTCTACATATGTCAGAACGCCCCACACTGATTCCTACATACTAGCACGGAGCTGGGTGTGGCTAATGAGTTGGACTGTGAATCTGATAGCCCATGGTTCGCGTTACCATTACTGCAAAAACGCGCTCCACACTTTGGGGCTGTGGATGCGCTATAATAGCGACGGTCAAATCTCACTATTTGATTAGAGTAGGCGAAAGGTGCTGTTGACTAGCTGCCTTCCCTCTAACCTTATCTGCGCTAACCCTTTGAGAGAATATCGTAAACAAATGAATATAACGGAACACCATAAATGACGTAAACTATAATTCCATTTACACCAATACAACATACATATCTATGTTAATACTTCCAAACCAGCACATCATAAATGACGTAAAGTATAATTCCATTTACACCAATACAACATACATATCTATGTTAATACTTCTAAACCAGCACATCATAAATAACGTAAAGTATAATTCCATTTACACCAATACAACATACATATCTATGTTAATACTTCCAAAC